CTCCTCACGAGTGTTGGCTCTGCTGTTACAGCTCCTGCCTGGGCCAGAGCTCAATCCCTCCTCCCAGCCAAACTTCCTGCCTCACAAGGAAGGTCTCTTCCAACCCTGTGATACTCTGCTCCTTAGCACAGAATCACAAGGTTGGAAGAGACCTTCAAGATCATCAAGTCCAACCCATTCCCTGCATCGCTGGTGTTTTGGGATTATAGAACAGCTTTGGGTGGAAAATGCTTTTGAAGTTCCCTGTTGTGTCTGAAAACCAGTGAGGATCCTTAAGTGCAGATTGGAATGAGGGAGAGTTGGGATTTTGTGTCACCTCCAGGGTGAAGGATTGTGCCTCTGGGATCTTGGGCTTCAGGATGAACAGCTGGAAAGAGCAGGAATGTGGCAGGAGTTTGGAGGGAATAGATGAAGCAACAGGGACCAGAGGAGTTCTGGGCATCTTGAAGGTGAGGACCAAACTGGAGCTTCACACAGGAAAAGCTGAGGGCAGGGATTTGTTGTGGTGTGGAAGCTGCTCCAGAGCCCTGGCAAGGGTCCCCACTGGGAGTGCCAGGTTTGGGGAGGAAGGTGAGCAGTGGAGGTTGTGCCATCTCTGCTCTCTCCATCTCTGGTCCTCCCCTCATGGTATTGGTGACATCCCACGAGTTTGGCAGGCAGGGCTGTGGCTTGTCCTGCAGACAAGACACGGTGTCAAAGTTCTGTCACGTTGAAATGGGAATTGTTCCCTCGTTTGCTCCTTGCATTTTTATGAGGAGCAAGAAACGATGACAAAAACAATTCTTAAAATATGTGGGATGGGGTTTCTTTTCAATAAAGCAAGGCTACTCCTCGAGCTTCTTTCCGAACTGGTGGAATATAAATTATCTGCTTGATCTTTTTATTTTGTGCACCACGTGTGACCAGAGGCAAAGCTCTGGAGGACAATGGGGCTGATATTCAAGTAGCTGCTCCTATGAACCACAGACTGAACTTGAGAGCACCAGAAAAACAACAATATTGCTTGCAGAGAATGCTGCTGCAGAGCCTGGGCTGGTTCTTAGGCTCCTCACACTGCTGATCTCCCAAACTGCAGAGGAAGAGGGAATTTGACTTTAACAATCCTGTTAAACACTTGTGCAAGAGGGTGAGTTCATGCTTATTTTCTGAGATGCTTTAAGACATTGAGCTGTGGTTTCTGGATGAGATCTTTGGCTGGACTTGCTTTGTCAGGAGGAATTGGAAGCTGTTAGAGGCAGAAAATCTTTGGGTTTTTTTCACTTTTCACCCGCAAGGCCTTGTACACCTGAAGGTTTGGGTGTTTTTCCCTTCTGCAGGAAGAATATACTTGTTCTTCCTACCAACTTAGCCTAAGGAAAAGTCCATGCTTTGTGTATAATTGCATGGGGTGGGCTATATTTTTCACTTTTCTTCCTTTGAGGCTGTTTGACCATTGGAAATACATTCGCTTAGTGTCCAGTGGCTCTTCAAGAGACTTTTGACAAGGGCCTGGAATGACAAGGCAAATATTTTATTTTATGAAAAATGATAATACCTTTCTTTTTCCTTTACTTGCATGGAGTGTGGAACAAACAAATGAGTTTGAGAGGCCCTGTTATTTTGGCAGTTCCTACTGTGCTCCCTTGACATCCATCCTCCAGCAGCTTTGTCCAATGTTCCCAGGCAGGTTCTGCAGGGAAAACCAGCTCTGTGTGCCTTTGTTTTGCTTTATTTTGCCCAGAGAAACCGAGGCAGATCCGATTCCCTCTGGCGAGCAGTGCCTGTGCTATTGTTTCCCAGGTTATTTTGAGGAATTCCTTCCCCTGGGATTTTTCCTGTGTTGGCTTTTTGACCTTTTTGCATCCTATAGTGATTCTCTTGATTAAACCCATGGTGTTTCTAAAATTAAGGGTGATTTGAGGGCTTTAGCTTGGAGGAGGAGGGAAATGGGGATTGTTTAGACTGTGCAGGGAAAATACCTGCTCCCAAAAAAGAAGCTGTGTGTGCTTGACTCCTGAAAAATTCTGTGGCTCTTAAAGTGAGCTGAGAGGATCAGCTCTCTATGACTTTGAGGATGAGGAGTTTCAGTGGAATCATGGACTAGGTAAGAATTCCTTTTAGAATTTCCCAGAGGGTGGCACAGCCAGGGTGCCCCATGAGCCCAGGGCTGATGCAGAGGAAGGAAGAAACTTTAAATGTCATAAAAATTAATCCCCACCAAAGGCCAAATTTAACATTCAGATTGAGAAAAGAGGATTTTAAAGCCCTAGTGCTGAAAAGGGAAAAAATGCACTCAGACAGGAAGTCTTGGGTTTGTTATGGAGCAAGGAAAAATGTTTTTAAAACTTTATCATAGAATAATGACATCCTAGGATGGTTTGGCCTGGAAGAGACCTCAATGCTCATCTCATTCCACCCCTTTTCCATGGGCAGGGACACCTTCCACTATCCCAGGTTGTTCCAAGCCCCACCCAACCTGGCCTTGGACACTTCCAGAGTTCCAGGGGCAGCCACAGCTTCTCTGGGCAACCTGTGCCAGGGCCTGACAGGGAGGAGTTTCTCTCCAATTTATCAATGCTGTCTGGGGGGTGGTGAATGGAAAAAGTGACTCCCAGCCGGACACAGACGGGCCCTTCATGGCCGAGCATCCTCGAGCTTGGGCAGCTGCAGCCCTGGAACAACGGGGCCCTTGAGTCCCCTGAGAGCCACTTGGCCTTTGGCAGCTTGGGTGGCTGCAAGAGCCTTGGTCACCCTTTCCCTGCCCCTGACCTTCCCGGGGATCTGAGCATTCCCTCCATCCCGAGCAGGACCCCCGAGCCCTCCGTGCCAGTCACAGGAGGGTCAGTGCTGGTGTTTGCATAACTCACAGCTCTGTGGAAGGTCCACCCTGGGGATGGCCCCTCTCTGCTCACAGGGGTTGTGACCATTCCCAGGTGGGGTGTGTCACTGCTCCTGGAAAGCATGGTTTTGTGGGTTTGTTTTTTAAGTAAAAGGTGTGATTTAGTCAGTCACCCTCACTGTCATTTCTCTTCCTGACTAGAAATGCAGAGTTTAATGGACAGATTACTTTTAGCCAAAGTTTAGTGTTTTTCTGAGTGGTCAGTGACAAGTGACATCAGGTTAAAACCTGGAGCAGAGCAGTGGAGCTGGGGTTGTTCAGCCTGGAGGAACAGCCTCTATTACCCTGTTCTGTGAAATCCAGTGATGATCCAGGCAATAACAGCATTCCAAAGCCACGCTGAGGATTTCATTGACACTTTAACCCAAATTATAATGCAATTTGTTCCTTCAATTAGTTCTGCAGTGTCTCAACGCGAGCTAAAGGAGGGGTTTAAAGAGAAATTCACTTTTTCCTCATCCCTGGCTGTGCTATGGTGTGTCAGGAAAGGTGCTGGTGGTGCCTGCAGGAGCATCCTGCTCCGGTGTTCCACACCTGGGGCAGTGCAGTGGGATGTGGGAGCTTTGGGAATGTGGTGCTTTGGGAATTGTTCTCATTCTTTATTCCTTGTTGTAAATGAGAGCCTTCAGTTGTCCATCCAACCCTGTAAGTGGCCTTCCTCAGGCAGGTAAGCTTTACTCATCATTGCCATTTAGGGATGTTTAAAAGCCCAGTAGTGAGAGTTTGGGAAGCTGATCCCAGATCATCCCACAGCGTTTCTGGGTCCTTTCAGCCACGACATCATTGCAATGACAAACACCCAGGAATTTTGCAGACCTGCCTGCCCAGGGGCAGAAGGAAATAGCAACAGATTGGGAATTTGAGAAACGCTTTGGGGGTTCTTCTTTGGAAACCAAAGGGTTTCCAAACATTTCAATTTGTGAGACTGCAGCCGAGCTTGTTGAAGTGAAGCAGAATGCAGATGTAAAATCTGAGTGAAGGACTGGGATGCTGAGGCTGGGAGGGGAGCTGTGCTTGGGAAATACCTCCGGAATGGGAGGGAGAGGGGAGGTGATAGCCCTGGGGCTTGTGAAAAGCCAAGGGCCTTTTGCGATTATTGCTCTCGATAGGGACTTTTATGGGCTGGAGCTTAACGAGCCCGGCAATTCAGTGGAGGTGTTTGTTCTTCTCTGCTCCTTCAAAGATGCTTTTGATGCCCCAGGTTTTGTTCTCAGAACAATGATGGGTTCGATAACCTCTGGGGCTGCTTTTTGAAGCCCCCTGGTTCTCGTCTTGGGCTGTGTTTTTGTTTTGCTGTGTATTTACAGCTGAAATAAGCAGATCGGGTTTCTTGAGCAAGAAAACCCCATCCTGGTCGAGCAGCCCTGGCTGTTGGATACAGTAACACACAGAAGGTGTTTGGTCCCTAATTGATCTTTGACTTCCCTTTTTTATGAAGTGGAAATAACAGGAAAATGCCGCTGGGGATGTGCTGCCACACCCGGGGGTAGCTGGGATTCTGATTTCTAACCCCAAATTCTAATTTCTGGGTCGGGATGTTCATCCTTTTAAAAGACTTTTAAGGCAGCAGTAATTTTTTTCTGAGTAAGAGGTCGCTACATAAAATTTTTGCCTCCTGGCAAATCTCGTGTTACAAATGTTGCTGCAGGTTTAAAGTGTTAATTTATGTGGTATATTGGGTTGGATTTAAAGGTCCCTGAAGACCTTTGAATCTTAGTAGCTAATGAGGCTTGCAGAGAAGAGGTTGAGAGAGGCAAAACTTACTGGCAGTGAGTAATGCTGCAGAAGGAGATCCAGGATTGAGCAAGTTTTGCAGAGAAAAATTAGGAGTTATCGCATCGGCCTTTGAGTTGTTTGATTATTTCCAGCCATAGGTCTCCCTGCAGCCTGCAGTCCCCCATCTCTGGGGGAAGGATTCTCCATGCTGAAACCCCTCAGGTGGAGTTTTCCCAAGTCCTAGACCACTTCCAAGGGCACTTGGATGAGCTGAGATCTGTGAGCAGCCGTCTCCTTGTCTCTCCCACTCATCCCTGCTGGAAAGGATTTGGCATTTAGGCTCCAATCTCTCAGCTTGGCTGAACCAGCTGTGCAGAGATGCTTAAACTTGTCCCTCTCCTTACAGCTGGCCTTGCTGAACTTCTTCCACCCCGAGGAGAAGCTGCACGTTGGAGAAGAAGGGAGACGCGTCCGTCGGAATAAAAGGAGTAAAGGCAGTGAAGGGCCCGACGGTGAGTCCTGCTCAGTTTCACTGGTTTTGGTCCCTTCCCAGATGAGGAATTCCAGGAGTTCTGATTTCTGCAGCTGTAGGTCTTGTGTGAATTAATGCTGCTTAGGAATTCCATCCTTGACTCCTAGAACTGTTGTTGTTTAAGGCTTTAATTTGTACTTGTTTGCCCTTATGTGTTGTCCTGCACACCCAGCTTTGCTTAAAATCATCAAGGAGCTTTTCACAATCCAGCAAACAGCTGGAAACATCTGCATCCCAAACTGGTGACTGCTTTAAGGGGGTTTTGAGTTGCTGTGGAGTCTCAGGTGGGGCCAAAGCTCGTGTGAAGGGAAGGCAAAGCTGTACAAAGCTTGGATTAGAAGAGCAGAAAGGTTCCTGATTTGTTTGTGAGGAATTTGATTTCCAGTCCTGCTTTTCCATGATTGTCATGACACAAAGACAGGAGCAAGAGCTCTCATGCTTTCATATTGCAGGAAAGAACAGATTCCCTTTTGTAGGAGCAGAGAAAGGACTGGATTCTGGAAAAGTTCTGTGCCCAAGTCCTTACTCCGTTATCACCATCAGTTTTCCAGTTCAGCTCCCATCTCCTCTGAAACCTTTGCAGTTTCACAGTGGAGAAGCATTTCCCTGTGGCTCTGCTCCAAGAAGGAGCTTGGTGAAACTCCCTGGATTCCTCTTGCCCAGAATGCTGACAAGTCTGATGCATTTGGTGCAGACTCCCTGAGTGATTCCAGCCCCGTGTGGGCTCTCAGTTTTGGAGCTGGTGTCGCTCTGGTGCTCAGATGGCTCAGGCAGCATCCCAGTCCTTTTCCCAGTCTCCTTGAAATCTATCCCAGTGTCTTCACCAGTTGCTTGTGTAGTAGCAAGTTCCCACTGGAGGCGAGCGGAGTTGATGGAGTGCTGCTGGCAGATGTTGGGAGGGATTAACTTCATCCCTCAGGCTGCCTCTGCCTTGCCAGATGTGCAGAGAGCTGCTGAGGAGAGATAGGGTTGGTGTCTGAGGAGGGTTTTACCCATCACCCTTGTGCCCAGTGTTGTCCTTTCCTGACTGGCATTCCTTTCCCTGATTTCCCTGGTGTTCCCTGGATGCTCAGAGTTGAGTCACTCCAGAAATGCAGAGCACTTCCACCCTTATCCAGTCCTGGGAGGAGAGTGGGGCTGGGGAAGGGTCTAGAACAGCTGGTGGGGACTCAGCCTGGAGAAAAGGAGGCTCAGGGGGATCTTCTGGCTCTGCAGAACTCCCTGACAGGAGGGAGCAGCTGGGACATGCGGGGCTCCTGTCAGGGACAGGGCAAGAGGGACTGGCTCCAAGCTGTGGCAGGGGAGGGTCAGGTTGGACATCAGGAGGAATTTCTTCCTGAAAAGGGTGATGAGGCATTGGAAGGGGCTGCCCAGGGAAGTGCTGGAGTGCCCATCCCTGGAGTTGTCCAAAAACCACCCAGACATGGCACTCTGGGCTGGGATCAGTCACAGGTTGGACTCAGTGGTCTCAGAGACCTTTTCCAGCTCCACTGATCCTGTGGTTCTTACCTGTCTCTTTTTGAAAATTAGGGATTTTGACCCTACATGTGGTGGAGATGGGAAAAACTGCCAGAGTGACAGGTTGTGTCCCTCTGGCTTTGGCAAGTGGTTGCCCCACATTTGGCTGTGGTGGTTTTAGAGCTGCACTTAACAAGTGGGAGCTGTCAGGGCAGGGCTTGACCTTGTAACAACCATAAAATCGAGAAACAAACAGAGCCACGGCCTTGGGGAGCTCAGGCTGTTTGTTTTAGACCTTTGTGAAGGAATCTTGCTGTCAGAGCAGGGCAATGAATCATTAAACTAATAAATAAAATCATGTCATGGTCCTGATAACACCATTTTCTTCTTGAGTTTTGCAAAAGGAAAGTTGATCAAATCTTTGATCTCCAAAGAGCCTCCCGAAGATAAAAGTGGCTGAACTATAAATTCCCAGAAGGCAGGAGATGTGCCTCGCTAATATTTGTCTGGAATTAATTTTATGAACTTTCAAGTGCTTTTACACATGCAAGGAAAGACCAAAGTGATCTGAGCATGGAGGCTGGGGCTGGAGGGAGGCTGCTCCGACCCTTCCCAGCTCTTCCAGTCCTGCTCATCCTGGTACCAGCAACAGGCTGGCTTTGATGATTTCTAAACATCAGGGAGAATGTGGTTCCTTTCCCAAAAGCTTTTTCTTTTTGGAGGATTTGCTTTCAAGCCTTTTGCTGTGAAAGAGGTGATTTTGGGACAGGGCAGAGCTCGCTCTGTGCAGCCAGGGGAGGGTGATGGTCCTGGCTGTGCCCAGGGCATGGAGTTACAGGGATGGGACATGGGAGCAGCAAAGCTGCTTTGGTGCCTCTTTGTTCAAAAATCCAAGGAAAATTGTGTGCAAAGCCATCAGTGGGATCCTGTCACTCTCCAACAGGACTCTGGAATTTCAGGGGTTCCTCCTTGAAAGACTCTGGTTTCAGCCTTCTGACCCCTGACATGTTTTATGGTTGGGTTTGCTTAATTTTGGGTTGTGGCCCTGCACCCACGTGCCCTGGGGCCACTTAAAGCAGCCGAGGTCGTGTCCTGGCCAAGGTCCCTCTCCTTGTTCCTGAATCCCTTCAGCCCTGGGGCATCCCATGGGATCACTGGGGGCTGGTGCCTGAACCAGTCCTGGGATCATCATCCTGAAGCCACTTTCCAGTCCATGCCACCAGAACCAACTTTTGCACAGCTTTGAAAACTGCCACCAATTTTCCCAGCTTCTCAAGGCCCAGGATTATCCCTTTGCACTCTGTTTTTTCTGCCTCTTTTCTCCTCACTGTTCCCATCTCCACCTGTTACTTCTTTTCCTTTAATTCTCCAAAACCTGCCCTTCTCCAATGCCTCTTCCCTGTTTTCTCCTTTCCCCCCTCCTTCCCTTTTGCCCTGGTGTATTTATGCTGCTGTGGAACTGCTGCTGCTCCCAGATGAACAAATCATTCTGGAGCTGCTAATTAGCAACAGTTGTGCTAAAAGGAACCATCAAGGATGTTAAATTAGTCCACTTTTAAATAAACTGGGTATGAAATGTTAGATCTCTATTCCCAGAGTGCCAGTAAAAATGCTGCTGGCTCTTTGCTAACAAAGCCAAAATCTGGGAGTAGCATGGTTGTAACTCCAGAGACAATTCCGTGCTCTGGAGGTTATAAATAATGACAGAGCATTTACAAAGCAGATGTCAATAGGACTCTTTAAAAAACATTGTTTTAAACAAATAAAATAGTTTCTTTTTCTCCTACTTTCATCTCTGTTCCCAGTTAGATCCCTGCCGGGCTGCTTTCCTGGTTTCTGGGGTTTTTTGCATTTTGGGTTTAGGGTTGTTGGTTTGTTGTTTTTTTGGGTTTTTTTTTCCTTCCTAGATTTTTTTCATATTGAGCTTGGTGAGAAACATCAAGGATTGTTCTCCAGGCTTTGATTGGGAGCATGGCAGCTGGGAAGAGGCTGAGCAGATGGCTGGCCTTAAGCTGACAACAATTTGGTTTCTACTACTTTGGCAGTTCTTCCTGCCGGGGAAAGTCCTGGAGGAGAATTCCAGCACTGCAAATGGCTTTGGGTTGCAAGGAAAATTAAATTCTGGGGGATTTAAAGCTCTTCCCCATCCCTCCTCCTACCTGGAGCTTTGGAAGTGATGCTCCAGCTACCTGGGTCCAGTTTCACCCTCTTAAGATTTGCTTGGTGGTTTTAGGGCGATTTCACTGTGGTTTTAAGATGGTTTTAGAGTTGGCTTTGAAAAGGTTAGAATGGTCTTACAGTGGTTTTAGGGTGGGTTTTGGATGGTTTAGCAGGTAGCTGATGCCAGAGCCTGGCTTTTAGAATGATTTTAAGGTGGGTTTAGGGTAGAATTTGGATGCTTTCTGGATGGTTTAGCAAGTAGCTGATGCCAGCCTGGCTTTTAGGATGGATTTAGGATGGTTTCTGGGTGGTTTAACAAGTAGCTGATGCCAGCCTGGCTTTTAGGATGGATTTTGGATGGCTTCTGGGTGGTTTAGCAAGTAGGTGATGCCAGCCTGGCTTTTAGGGTGCATTTAGGATGGATTTTGGATGTTTTTGGGATGGTTTAGCAGGTAGCTGATGCCAATCTGGCTTTTGGGGTGTGGTTTAGGATGGATTTTGGATGTTTTTGGGATGGTTTAGCAGGTAGCTGATGCCAGTCTGTGTGGGAGTGCCTGGCTCCCCCCGAGCAGCCCCCAGTCCCACAGGTGCCCTGTCCCAGCCATGCCCCTTTCCTGACCCAGCAGCACTGACGATGCAATTGGACTTTTTTTCCACATTTTTTTTAATATCCAGCTCACAATAGCAACTTTTCCTGCTGGCTTCCTCTCCTGTGGAAAGGGCAGGTTCGTCCCTCTGCCTCCAGAACAATGGGTGCCTTTGTGTTAGCCCTGTGCAATTCCCAAAGCCCCGGCATTCCCAGAAACACAGATGGATGCAGGGCGATAGAGCCTTATTGTGCTCCGAAACCATGGTGATGAGCACGCAGTAAATACTGGACATTTCCTGGATCCTGGAGCACAGGAGACTGTCCCAGAAGGAAAGGCTCACCACAAAGTGTTTGTTCTTACTGATTTCCCTCAGAATTTCTCTGTGTTTTCCATCTAATGGGAGAAATTGGGAATAATGTGGTGTTTTAATATTTGGGGATAAACTCATCCCTTTCCTGGGATGTTGCTGTCAGTGTTTGTTATTACTGTGATAAAATTAGGGCTGCAGCTTATTTACATATCCTTATCTCTGTGTTATTCCTAGGCTTGTGATAACAGCAATCTGTATTGGTCTTGTCCCTAAAAACCCAGAGTGGTGTCTAGGTGCTGGTTCCAGCTCTGTTTCAGCCCTGGCACAGGTTTGTGCAGAGAAGCTGTGGATGCTCCTGGAAGTGTCCAGGGCCAGAGGGGACAGAGCTTGGAACAACCTGAGATAGTGGAAGTTGGCCCTGCCCATGCCAGGGGGTAGAATGGGAAGACCTTTAAGATCTCT